CTCTAAATTGCCCATAGGAGTGCATGTGAGTGTGAGTGGATGTGGCTCTACACGTCTACACGTCATGGATAGACGGGAATATTTTGGAAAGAGGCCATTTTAAGAAGTTAAGAAAATGGAATGTGAAAATAAAAACCTGAATCATGAAGAAATGTTTGTAAAGAGATGGATATTCTAATAGAGACACATGGTTTAATTTGGGGAATAAGGGTATTTAATCTAATCTAATCTATTTTCAATCAAATATAATCAAATTTCTTGAAACTTACTGGGAAAGTAAATACATGGAAGATGAGAATGTTCTGGAGGTCGAAGACATTTTTGTAAAGTGATGACACATTGTGTCAATAAAGGTTAGAAGTAAGGTAGTAGAAACGCGTGTGTGCGTGCGCGCTGTACACCTGTACCTATGATGGACACGCAGTGAGCCTTGGTGCTGTTGCTGTGGAGCTGTGAGCCCAGGACAGTCTGAGCTCTGACGCAGTACTGGGCTCCTTCCTGCAGGGCGGCGATGTGCAGCGCCTTCTGCTCCGCTGGCACTGTGTAGACAGCAGCCTGGGAGAAGAAGCAGCAACACAAGTGTAACAAGTTTGTCTGCTTGTAATGAGACAAATGAAGTATTGCAAAATATCTCTGACTGCACCAGAGACTTGTCTGCCACCGTGGGCTGCAGATTAACTTGTTTCAGTCAAGGAAGAAGAGAAGGGAAGATACAAGTGTAAATAAGAGGGAAAGGATAAAGAATATTAAAACACAGAAAAGCAGGCGTGTGCACTAACTTTGTCTGACCACTGCTGAAGTAGATGCATTAGAAGGAAAAGCTGACACTACATCTGAAACCACAGGCCACCGCCTCCCATCACTTGTTTCAATTTAAAAAGTTCAAATCCAGTAAAAAAAACCTTCTCTCAGCAGGTCACCTCTTCATGGAAATCGAGGTTCAGACGATGTTTAATCACAGTAACTCAGAGGTCCCTGAGGCTGTTCGGCTGAGGAGAGGCAAACCTGTCGCTCTTTAAGGCACAATTTGTTTAGCTGGTTTTATGAGTTAAGTATTTAATTTGTTGACCTTGTTTAACCTCTGAAACTTCTGCTTTTTAGCTTGTGTTTTATGTGGGAAACAAAAGGAAAAAGGTAGGACTGTAGATAAAGGAAAGAAAAAAGGGAATGAGACAGGAAAGAGAAAACAATAGAGGAAGAGTCAAAAAGGAAATGATGAGATAAAGAATAGTGAGTAAAGAGACTGAGAAAAGGGCCGAATAATGACAAGAGAAGAAATATAAGAACAAAAGTAGAAATGAAACAAAGGAAAGAGAAAGAAAGGGAATAAGGATGTGAAGTAAAAGCTGACCTGCAGCTCGTTGTCGCTCTTCCACACGGTCACGCTGACAACAGCAGTGAGAGGAAACTGACCAAACAACACGTGGAGAGCGTCGCCCGCTGCCGTCACCGTCATCTCCGGCACCGTCAGGACCGCTGCACACAAGAGTCACACTCATTCATCTGTTCATTACCTGCTCACTTCTTTTTCTGACTGACACCACAGGAGCAGAGGAGCTGAAACACACCATCTCCTCTGCAATAGTCATTTTTCTAAACTCTCCTGTACCTTCCTGATTTCAAGCAGTCTGAGAAATAAATGTTGAGCATTTACTTTAAGCAATGTTTCATTCTTTTATTCAAGTTTTTCTTTGCCTGTGGTTTCCATTCTTCTGAACTGTAGGATGCCAAGACACAGCTTTGTGTCTGAACATTTAGCAAGTCGCTAAATAGAGGGCTCCTTGCTCTGGTGCCTTATCCAGCTTTACGTTATTTCACATGTGAGAAGGTGAAGTCGGCTGCTGTTTGCATCTTACTGTCTCTGCGGTTGAAGGGTCGGCCGAGTTGGGACCAGGCTGAGAGCTGGGACCCACACTGAGCTCTGACGTGGAGGTTGTAGTCAGAGTCAGAGCCCAGGTCAAAGGTCAAGTCACAGTGAGTGTGAGGAATTTGCTGGCACTCAGGGGCGTCCACCCAGCTGCCATTCAGGACCATCTGCTCAAACTCTCTGAGGGAAACAGACACACAGAGCTTTATTCTTGTTTCACGTCTTTATTGTAAGAGTTTCTGCAGGTGTGATTTGGTAACAAAGGTAGTTCCATGTGAGGAGACAGGCTGAGACGTAGGTTGAATAAGCTGAAACAAGTTCAACTGATTCTGGCTGGTGTTAGTGTCGTGGGTTTACTGTACACCACAGTCTCAGTGCATGTGCAGATGGTCATGTTGCTCATGTCCTCTGATTTCATGTTCTGTGTCTATGACACTCCACACTGCATTTACACAAATCTCCACTTGTCTTCTGTGAAACTATAGATTGTATTGTGTATTTATTTATCTATCTGTGGGACCATGCATATCAATCAATACCAATAAAATAACAGCATAAATGTGCCAGGATTAGCTCAACGGCTAGTTTGCACCGTGGTCTCTAACCAATTAAAAACTACAAATAACAAAAACAATTACATATAACAAATACAATCAAAAGCACATCACAGACATATTAAAAATTATTACATGTCTGGACAGATTTCAGCCATAGTTTAGTTTTAAAAAGCTGTAAGATGTGCGATTCCATTGACACAGCGTTCCAAAGAGATGCAATCTCTGAATGATATGACAATTATGATATTGATTAGTGTTTGTTTATAAAGTGACTCTATTGGCTTTAATGTGAAATTTGAGAGACAGTAACTCAAGTATGAAAAAATCATTGCATTCAAATACCATTGTGCAGCATGCAATAATAAATAAGGCCCAATAAGTTTAAAATTAAACACAGAAAATACTTTTAGTAACCCCCTAATATGATTCCTAAAAGTCAAAGTAGAATCTAAACCAGCTCCAAGGTATTTGAAATGATCAGGCAACATGTTTCCAGCAGCACATCCAATTCTTCTAATGCATCTGTTTCCAGCTGAGCTGCAGTCGTGCCTCTGGCTACATTAATCACCCATCCACCCTGCGTCACGCCCGGTCATGCCACTGACTCGTCCAAGATGAGTCATTATTATCTCCATTTTAAAGCAGGAATTCTGTTCAGTGCATGTCAGTGAAAATGAGTTTAAGTGTAAAGATGAGCCTGTGTTTTCTGCCTCCAGGTGGAGTCAACCTGCTGGGTGACAATTACTGTGTCACAGTTTACTGTGCTAACCACAGCCAGAGCCACCATCTTATTACTGAACTTACCAGACCTACCGTGTAGGTGTTGTTCAGACCCACAAACCCTCTCAGAACTTGAAGTGAGGGTCCCAAAGTTTCCAGAGATACCAAATATGTCTGACTGAATTTTAAGGAAGTGTGTGTAAAATAATGGACATGAACTTTTTTATTTTTAACACCTCTTGTGAATCTATTGAAGCTTCAGTAGCTCTGCTCATTTCATGCTTATTTATTACAACTGATGATGAAATTTAAAGACGTAGTTAAGGCTTTACTTTTATGCAAACAATACTGATGTCAGTTTTTACAAACACTGAATTGTGCCCACTTCAAACCACAGGAATGTTCAAGGTGCTTCAGAACAGCCACCGGGACATTCCAGACAGTTATTAAAGTTGTGATTGGCAGCTGATGTGACGCAGACAAAGTGGAGAGATTCATCCAGAGTTGAAACGAAAGCAGCGTTGATTGTCAGTACATCACTGACACACCCGATGATTAAGTGTTAGGGTAGGTGTGTCATTAATTTCTATGTTATTAGGTCAGATCACTGCTTTGTTCCCTCACATCAAACTGCAGGTATCAGCTGTGATTTCACGTCACCCTGTCAGACCACCGCGCTGCCAAACTGTACATGAGTCAACTTTTCATAGTATTCTGTTAGACCGAGTTTACTTCTTTCCACTGCTACTGAAACTAGGGATTTCACTAAAAAGCTGCTCAGGGTAGTTTTTTATCAAATAAACAGGAGGAAACTATTTTCAGTGACAGATTAATCCATATTTGGTGCTCCAGTGTGTATTTGGGACAGCATGTGGGACTGAGTCCAACTAGGAAATTAGAGGCTGCATGAAAGGAAGCAGAGGTCTGTGTATTACTCACCCCTGGAACTGGACGAAGTAGAGGATTGTGGTGCTGCAGGGAGCCTGCAGGGGGCGCCACCTCAGTGTGTGCCTCATGTCTACGGACTCCATGGAGACGCCACTGGGGGCCAACAGCATCCAGACATCTGCAGACACAATGAGCTCATATTTTAAATCTCATCTCAAATCTCAGACATGAGGTGGTAGAGAGAGTGGGGGGGTCCTGTCCACAGGCCTCTCTTCACCACTTACACACCATCTTCGCTGCAGCACCACAGCTGATGCACCCTGTAGCAGTGAGGACTTTTGCACCACAGCTGCAAAGCATCCTGTATCTGGGCAGTTCACTGGACATGTTATCAACCAAAACATGGAGAGGAAGAGGAAACCCACAGCCGGGGCTGTGCAAACAGATACAAGGAGAGTAGTGAAGAGGCAGGAGCATGAGAGAGGAGTGAGCAGGGTGCCGATTGTTACGTTTGAATGTTTACTGGTGTTCAGACAAATATGGGGAGGACAACCTATTATCCTTATGCAAACTGTCCACAAATGAGCAGACTGTGTTTTGGTAATAACCAGACATAACTGAGGGACACTGGAACAATACAGACCTCAAGCTTTTATTGCTTGTTCCATTTCCTGTTTCTTCTCTCTGCTTCTGCTTGTTATTGCTGACTATAGTGAGCTCAAGTCAAAAGTCTTAGGCCTGATCTGGGCTGCTTAACATTTCTCCACATTTATGACAATAACAATCACAGACATCAGATCAGAAAGACTAACTTTGGTGCAAAGTTACATTGAGCATCAGTTGGCTCAGCCCTCTGTGTCGCAGCAGCCGTTTTTCTGATGAACACTGTCGGACGCCAACGCCTCTCTACAGCGATACTTTAACATGAGGCAGTCATTAACCTGTTGATTTTTACCTTGTTGGTCTGAAACTTGAGTTAAAATACTTTTCGCTATAATAGAATGCACATTCTATGGATAATATAATTTGGAATAATTATCTTGCTACACAATAATAATTCCATTGGTTGTGTTCACATTTGTTCAAACTTGACCTTTTGGTAAACGTGACAGCCGTGGTATGTACACTTGTATTTGAAACTTTTGTTTACATGTTACACACACACTCCAGCTTATGTATGAAGTGTGATTTTGTTTAAATGGAAACAAATCTCTTAACCATGTCCAATAAAGATGGAGCCTGTCATCTGAGAGTGACATGAACTCACCAGTTATAAAGTCCAGCAGGACCATCACCATCATCACCATCATCTTCCTCAGACTCACAGCCCGCCTCAGTCTTACGACCACACTGTTCGTCTCCAGATCGATGAAGATACAAGTCACGTGGGGTCCATCATGTCCAAATCCCACCCGTCACCTGCACATAAACTGACAGACACTGTAATCCAGAGTAATGTCCAGAAAGAAAACCTGGATGCTTCTCTTGTTGTTCATGCAGTGTACAACTTGCGTGTGTCCTTCAAATCATCCAATGAGTGAAAAGGCTTAAATCCACTGTGAAGAAGACCGGAATGTTCAGTAGGATCCACATCGCCCACAGTGCGAGGTTCGGTCCGGTTGTTTCACCCTCTGCACTTTTGGTTCACACATGAAAAGAAGCTTTGACATGTGTACAGCAGAAGCCATGTGAGCATGACTGCACACTGTCCTGGTTCTGCTGAGAAAAGATGCCGTAGCTGAGGCTGAGGCTGGATTCTGGGCGGTGGAGCCGGTCTGACTTGCTGTCAGCTCCCGCGGGGCATCACCTGTCAGCTATAAATCACAGGTTAAAATCAAAACACACCTGGAGAAGACAACATAGAGCTGCTGGTAGTGGTATGTGCCTCATGGCCTATTAGAGCCCACAGAAGTCTTTTGTTCCATCCCTTTTTAAAAGGAGCCTACCCCACCCCGCATGTCAAACAATGACTCAACTAAAATAAGATAATTAGTCTTCTCAAAGCCCTTGCGGTCATGATCCTGGTCTCTTCTGGGGAATCATTTTCAGAAACAGTTTCTAAACTACATTCACAAAAACATTTTTCTCCCTTTAAAAAATTTATTGTATTGTGTGACTCCTTGTTAGTGGTGCTGAGATGTTGCCACAGTCTGATTTGTGAGACGCGCTGCTGGTAGATGATGCACAGTTTCAGCCGGATGCCATTCGTGCTGCTGTGTGTTCAGGTGCTTTGTTGACACCTGATTTATGATTAAGGTAGATGAGGAACAATGAGGGTGTGGAGGTTGTGTGGCCGCCTGCTCCACTTCAAACTTTTAACTCTGAGAAAAAACATATTTTTTGAATAAACACCTTATGTGGGATACAAAGGTCAGAGGTCAGACTGAGTTGTTCTGAGGTTAAATGGTCATTCACCTTCTGCTTCCCTGAGTCTGTTTCCAGGTTTCATGTGCACTTGTTTACACCAAACTCCATAAATGTTTGAGGATGAACTAAGTTCAGTTTCTGTCCGTCATGACTTTGCTGGCTGAGCCTCTCCATGGAACAGTTTATTATCAGTACTCCCACCATCAGACTTTTACTTTCATTTCAACATCGACTGAAGTTCATCATCGTCACAGTGTTTTACATCACATACAAGAGCACAAGAACGAACAGACCCCTGGATTGAGTGGTTACAGTACCTGGTTTCTCAGAACTATAAGAATTAAACCCAAACTGTTGGACTGATGAGATACTACAGGAGCTGGTTTAACCCAATCAGTCCTACACAGGATCAGGCCTCTCAGGTTTCTAATGGATTTGTGATCATTTAGCATCAGACTCATATTGTGTTGTTTGATTGAATTTCTAAGTCAGTTTCATTGGAAGGAAACGAGACAAAATGGAGGACACCACAGGAGAAGATGCAATACTGGATAAAAACATGTCAAATGAACAGGAGTAAAAAAATCAGTTGCAAAAACAAAAACAATAGATTTTAAAAATGTAATACATGAACTCAAAGCTAATTTTCATGTTGTACATAAGTTCATAAAAATATTTAAAATACTTTCTACCAGTGTGAAAACAGCAGCAGTAACCAACATTCGGGCGTGTAAACAAAAGTGACGTTTTTTTTTTAGCGTTGAAATATATTTAAAGTAGATGAGATGTTTTTTCTTTTAACATTAAAATTAAAATAACGTTTGGATCTCTCCACATTTGGTTTGTTTTTCCTCAGTGAATCTTCTGGTCCAATCTAATCATTTTCTTCGGTTTCAGTTGGACTGCGTCACTCAGAAGAATAACGGAGTGAAATGTCAGACTTTGGACTCATGATGATCAAACATTAACCGTCACCAGCCATAAAGCGATCAGACCCAGAGCCACGCTCCCACAACCTGCTCACAACCATCTGTCTGTCTGAGTTCGACATGTCTGCCAAAATATCTGCCACGAAAAATGTCACCTAATATTTAATGTTCAAATTCTTATCTGTTGATACACCATATATTTCAACATGTGAACACGTGTTCACACAGTTTCCATTTGCTTTGCAGCCCCTGAACCCTACAGGAAGACGCTAAACTAAGTCATGGTGACACTTTTTTGTTGTTGTTTTTGGTTAAATTATTGCATCTTACACAAACATAAGACTTTACTTAACTGCTCAGTCATCTGACTGGGCCTTGATGTCTCCGCTTAGACATAAACATGTTTCACTTCATGAGGAAACACTGTGGTCTAATTTCTCCTTTTCTCTGCATTCAGGAACAGCTAAGTGAGGAAGAAGGTGAAGGAGAACCTCAGCTTGTGCTGCAGAGACTGAAGTGATGCTGATCAGCTGCAACACAACATACTGCTCTACAGTTTGTGTTTCAGCTCTGTCAGGTCCCTTTGGACCTCCTCTAACTGAAATGTTTTTCTTTGCTGGAACAATCTGAAGACGACATGTACAGCGATGAATAATACAGTCAACCACACACAACGCCATAAATACTACACTAGCAGGTCATTAGCAGCCAAGCAGGCATGTGTGAATATTCTCCTGAAGATTGACCTTTTACTTTTGCTGCTGCAGTTTATTATTTTGACTTTGCTTGTACTGACGGACTGATGTCTGTTTTCTGTAGCTTCTGAGTTGAAGAACAGCTGTAAACATGTGTTTAAGGGACACACAGGACTTCTGTAAAACCTGCAGGGGACTCTCACAGTTGTCTGAGGTGTGGCTGAAGACTCAGCCATGATCACCATCATCATCATGACCAGGGCTGGGGGAAACTGCAGGGAGTGGCTCCCAGCAGTTTATGGCCCCTAGCACAGTGTAAAGTCCTCCTGACAGAGCCACAGGCGTCAGATTATCAAGAAATAAGTGGAGAGAGACCAGGGCCTTCACCAGCTCCTCCATTGAAGCTTTACTTCAAAAACCAGGCCTTGTGACTTTTCATTCCCCGTTGTTCCACATTTAAAGGCTTAAGATCAAAAGTTTTGTTTTCTTTCTGTTTGTGGCTTCTGGATTTCCTCAGAGGGGCTCTCAGTCATTTTGTTTCAAGAGGTTTCTGGAAACATTGACATCATGTCGACGGCTTTGGAAGCAACCGGGTTCATGATGGGCATCATCAGCTGGCTGGTCACCGGAGCGGCACTGGCTAACGACTACTGGAAGATTTCCAGTGTGTCCGGCAGCGTCATCGTCTCCCAGAGACTGTTTGAAAACTTGTGGCACGCCTGTGCCGAGAACAGCGCCGGCCTCGCCGAGTGCCGAGACTTTGAATCTATGCTAGCCCTCCCAGGTAGGATGAGGACAAGGAGTTTTAAAATCTTGTTTTCTTTAATAAATGTAGCTACAGACACACCTGAGTACAACAGGTACAAACATAAAAACCTTTATTAACTCCTCAAGAAAAAAATAATGTCCAGCTGTGTTGGCAGAAGGAGCTGAAAATACTACTTTTTGATTTAGTGTCATGTTCAAATGTTGTTCTCGTTCTGGGATAAGATTTGAATTCTCAAGTCTATAATCTAAGTTTATAACATAGACAAGATGGAAAGTGCCACTGCTGACAGACAAAATATCAAGACAATAAAGTTAGATACAGGAAATCAATCACTGAGATGTAAAAAAAACTGTTAAATCCAACAACTTCTTGTTGAAGTTTGAATCATCTGTTCATGTAGATAAAAGTCTGTGAAATTACTGTTTCAGAAAACTAATTATTTAAATCTTGTGGAAGGTTTCCTTCATATTTTTCTGAAACATAAGATTTAAAACTGAATAAGTCGCTTCCTCAGTTGTGAATAAGGCAACATCAGGTCTCTCGGCACAGCATGAGGTCAGAAAGCAGCTCAAGGACCTGAAAGTAAAATCATTTAAAAATCTGATTACCTCTACACATTTGAACCTCGGCAGTTGTGCTCGGAGCCGGGGCTTTGTACAGGTCACCGGGTCCTGTGGCACAGGGTCTGAACCAGCCGTCCAAAGGTCGGTGGATTTTACAGCTGAAGGTTTCCCGCCTAAAACAGCAAGAAAAAGGTTTCTGGCTTGTGCCAGTAGAAACACAACCATTCACCGTTACTGATATATTTAATAATAATGATTTATAATTAGTGTGATTTTCCTCATGTAATGTGCCATCAAGTTTATCTTTTGGGCGCCATTTTGAACTTTCTCTTCCACTCATGGTAAAATGGAGGGAGACACCCAAATGAAGCCGACAGCATTGTTTTACTGTCACTCTGTTGTATTGCGCTTCTGTCATTTTTGTTGTCGCATGTTCTTACAGTAGAATCTCATTCGGCAGACTGGTTAGCCTCTCGGATGCTGATTTTCACCTTAAAATTTCCCTTAAACTAGTCTGACTTACTTTGACAAGGCTGAACACAAAAGCAGAACTGATATAAACCTAATGTCTTGTTGTCATTTTACACATTTCCACAAAATTCAGCTCATGTCTGGTGTCTTTGGGATCTCCACTACTATTTGAAATACAATTCTGAGTCTGAACCAAAGACGTTTGTAAAAAGCTTATAGGAGATCACTGTTTATTATGATATTGTAGGGCTGTGCCTACATGGTGTACTCAGGGTTTGTCTTTCCTGAAACTCTCTGAGGCTCATAAAGGGATGCGGCAGGATTTTATGATTGGCTATAAATTACTACAACAGTCCAGCTAGGTGCTTTAAAACATGTTACTTTTAGTTCCTCTTGTTCTATAAACATTTTTATTTAACAAGATAGAAATCGTTAAACAGCTTTGGGGTTTGTTTCTTTTGAACAAAGGCAGGCTAGCCATTTCCACCTGTTTACAGTTACTATGCTAAACTAAACTAAGTTCAGATTCCCATGTGTCATCTGATACTGACTTTTTATCCTTGTAAAATTACAAGTTTATTCTCTTGATAAATGTATTTCCAAATACTGAAACTTTGTCAAAATCACATTTTGTATATTAATTATTCAGTTCAATCAAAATCATATACCTTTTCCTTTATGCTAAGGTGGTTTCAATCTTCTTAATCATTAGTTAGAGATACAACCCGGGTGGAGTCAGGGAAGCAGCATCTAGCTGCTGTAATGGGCCAGGAAACCACCTTTTATTGTGGCAGTGCAAACAATTAAGGCTATATTCAGTATCTCACAGTATCTCAGGAGTGGTTACAGGATGTAAGCAAAGGCCATCTACAGCTGGCTAAGCATTTTTAATAGTTTGATACAACACAGATTATCAAGAAGAAGAAAAAACAAACAAAACCAAGTTACACAAAAACAAGGAGCAAGTAGCAGTCACCTCACTGGTTACATCTGGTTTACACACATACCACTAGGTACTCTGTTCACAGAGATGAAGTGACGGTTTTCTCTCTCTGTGTGCAGTTCACATGCAGGTGTGTCGTGCTTTGATGATCATTTCCCTGATGCTCGGCCTCAGCTGCATGATCGTGTCCCTGCTTGGAATGAAGTTCATCAAGATCGGCTCGGCTGCCGACCAATCCAAGGCCAAGCTTGCACTCACTGGAGGAATCATGAGCATCCTTGCTGGTGAGGCAACAAGAGCACAGACTTTGACATTAGCTTGTTATGTGGACTACATGTCCCAGAGCAGAGCTACGAATATTTTTAAAAAGGAAAAACTCAGTTAAAGCAACAATGAAATGGCAGATTCACAACTTTAGGTCTGTCTCAAAACAACTGCCAGGTGCCATATGACCATGGAAGGAGGTTTTGCTTGTCGCTGTCATTTCTCCTGTCTATACGGGCCTCTAAGATGGCCGTGGCCCCCCAGCACACAAACTTGCAGCATTCACTACTGATTCTTTCTGAAGATCATCTGACTGCCTCCCTGCCTTATGTCTGACGAATCATCAGGCGTAACTTTGTACTAAAGCATCAGTGCAAACAAATGAGTGCAAAGGATAAAAAAAAAACAAGCTCAAATAATCCTCAGAGACACAGTGAATTATTCTTTTAGATTGCAATGTCAGATCAGACCCCTGTGCAGTCTCATTCTCACTGTTCTCTCATGTTTGTACTAACGGGGAGATCCAGTGCATTAAACTAAGCGCTCCCCTTTGCCCCCTAACCTACATCAGTGAATTACAGGAGACAGATGTGGGAACAACCACTCTGATCAGCTGTAGACGACTGGAGTCAAACACTGATTGTGCCTTTCAATCTGTGATCCTATTTATCAGCATTAGTGTCTCTACTCATTCATTTTAACAACCCTGTTTGCAGCTCTTCTCCGTCCTGCAGTCCAGACTCCTGACAAGTGCACCGTGTAATCTGACAAGCCCCTGACAATGAGCTCAGAGTTCCTTGTTTTGACAGGAAAGCAAAAAGTCAAGAAACACTTGTAGACCCTGACGAAGGCTCCTTGCAGAAACATGTTGGTCAAAACATTGCAAGTGGTCTTTTTGTTTTCCAGTTTGTTTTTCCCTTGTTTGTGCATCATGACAGTGGGCAGCAGCACACGTTGTGTGTGAAACTGATGCTGAAAATAAAACCTTGGCTTGTGTTTGCAGGTCTTTGCTGCATGATAGCTTGCTCTTGGTATGCTTCCAGGGTGGTGCAGGACTTCAAGAACCCGCTCTATGGTGGCGTGAGGTGAGCAGAGCAGCACACAAATAGTTTGAGCCTTTTACACTCAAGAACTGGGACTATGAAATAAAAACTAATCCCAGTTCCTGTGGGAACGGTGAGCTAAGTGTCCGGCTCTTAAACTAAATCCTCCATGATGTTAACAAAACAGGGACTAAGCGGTAGAAAATGAATGAATGAATGTTAACAAAAAAACATCTGATTTTGTGTTTTATTTCTCCCAGATTATTTAATATTAATGAAGAAATTCAGGTTCAGAAGAGATTCTCAAACAGTCACAGTTGTTTTAATTATATTTTGTGTATTCTAATGAAGAGGTGCAGAGACATGTTATCAGACCAGAGGGGAGGGGGATCCACACAGGTTTCCATATACACGGGAGGGTCAGTGTGCTAGGGGCCCCCGTGTGGTGGAGCTCAGCTCAGAGACAACACACATCTGTGTCTTATCTCACTGGACTCCTGCAGATGGCCATAAAGCGCCTCTGGCACGTGCTTGACGTGAATTTGCAATTCATCACATTTTCTGATAGTGACCAATATTCTCAGCCAGGTTTACAATGAAGTCAAGCATAAGGATTAAACTTATGCTTAAACAAATGAAATGATGATTTTGTAAAGTTGGACCTTAATGAGTCGATGGCATGTTTCCAGTACTGCATTCCAGTACATTCATCTGTTGAATCCATTTAACATCCCTTTTTTTGCTGACTCAGTATTTCCATTTGACGAGACTTTACAGTCCTACTACCCTACATGTCTGCAGGTTCGAGATGGGCACCGGCCTCTACATAGGCTGGGCTGGAGCCTGTCTGGGCATACTGGGCGGAGGGTTTCTCTGCTCCTCGTGTAAGAGACTGTCACCAGAAGGCAAGAACGGGTAAGAGCTGCACGCCTCACCTGGCATGTTATCTCTGTGGTACTCCCAAGAGTCAGGTAACAGCAGGCTGAACAGAAATGTCTGTTCTGTGTGGTTGGACTCGGACCCCGAGGAGACGGCAGTTTAATCCGTCCTCACTTAGATAATGTCAGTCTAAACTGTCCACAAACTATTCCTTTCATTTAAATAACGGTTCGTGTGTCATTTGTCTCCCTTGTCCAGTGGTCTTTACGGGAAACCGCCACAGAAGATCTACACAGCTACAGCCAGGTCGGAACCAGATTCGCCCAAAGCTTATGTCTGAACACAGACCACACTACCTGTACACCTTCCTGTTAGGGACATCACCTAGGCTCACCCTCACCATGACAAACAGCCGATCCCCGTGAAGGGATCGGTTGTTTGTCATCTGTCTGGGAGGATGGTCCCCACAGTGCTATTATTAACACCACTGTACACACGAGGCCCTCTGCTTCCTGTCTGCCACGGTTGTGACCACGGTCTTATAAACTAGGACCATTCGTCCATTTTCTGTCCTTTTTCTTTTTTGTTATGAAGAGTTTTTGAGGTGAAATGTTTGGTGAAATCTACAGAGCAGACCAGAATTTGTTGATGATTATTAATGACTGAGTGGAGTTTATTATTTCCCCAATAAAGTTTGTATTACCAAATATATAAAGGTTTTTTTGTGTTTTCTTAGCAGATGTGCTGCTTCACCCACACTTCACAAGCATTTGTTGTTTGTCATTATTGTGGTTTATGTTTAATACAGAGGGTCTGTTAGGTAAAAGTGATACACAGTGTGGATAACCAGCCTGCATCAGCAGCTGCACAGTGCATGTGCACACAGTGCAACACCACTTCAACATGACTAAATCCACTTAAACACTGCAGACTCCATGTTGCTGCATAACATCAGCCAACACTATGAGGTCATCTCGACAGTTTTTAAAAGATAACTAGAAAAGCAGTTTGGTGTTACATCAGAACATTACAGCCATAAAGCTGCCATCTGTTGAAAGAAAACTAACTTTTTTGACATAATAAAGAAAATAGAAAGCAGATGTAGAAGCTTTTGTGTAGGAAACACTTTAGTCTGGACTAAACTCGTGTAAAACTTGTTGGTGACAACACTAAAATGAACTTTATGCATTGTTTAGAAGAATAAATAGGATTAGGATGATGCATCACAGGCCGCTGTGTGTAAAGTGTGTGTGCTTTAATCTCCTGTGTAATAATGATGATTAATCCACCTGTGTTTACCTGCTGACGGGCAGGACAGTGGATTAAAGCTGCTCGCCGTCACGCTGTCCTCTACACACTGTGGCCTGGGTCAGAGCTGCTCAGCCTTCAACCCGTCTCTGCACAAACCCTGGTGTCCCACGTATGGTCACTGCATCACTTTCTGCCTCTTCACACTAATCTGTGCAAACCAAAACCTCAGGTCATAATCTGTGGTTTTCACTGGTAAAATCCAGAGGTGGGAGTAAATCAGCACATTCTCTATGTCTGCATTTTAAAGGCTCTGGTGGTACTGTCCAGCCTCTGTCTCCTTACTCTGACACTGATATTTCCTGCACTGCATGCAGGAAACTCGCCTGTGTGTTCCTGACACTCTAGCTACCCCCACCGCTCTCCTGTCTGCTTGATTCACCTGTGGGTTCCTGATACCTGACTTTGACTTCATTCCTGCCTGCTTGCCCCACCAGCACAACTTACTTCTACACTGGTGACATCCCTGCCCAGTGCAAGTTACCTGTGGGTTCCGTGCTCCCAGGTCTGGCCCTGTTTCGCACATTTCTTTGTGTTCTTCTACACTTCACAATAATTTGTCTGTCAAGCAGCTGTTTGTCTACCAAAAAAATAAATAAAAATTTGTAACTCAAAGCCACAAAACATCAGTTCTCCAATTACCTAGAAGGTGTACTGTGCAGTGGCTGGTGGGGACACACCTGTCTCCATGGAGCTCCCTGCACAGACAGCGTCCTCTACAGTCAATTCCTGCCTCAGGTTCACTTGTTTGTTAAAGGTCTATAAAATATTTGGACTGTGTGACAAGAGCATCATATAAGTTATAGGCTTTTTATTTAATGCAGAGTGAATAGTCCAACATTGACAGACCACTGTGTGGCTGGCCACTTTATTAGGTATAGCTGTTCACACTTCAATGCAACACTTCCACTTTAACATCTATCTGTGTTTATGAAGCTCGACATGTTTCTGTTTTTGACGAATTTGTCACAAATGTATAAATTCAATTCTATGTTTTATTACTGAGGTCGTAGTTAAAGGTGGTGCTGTACTGGACTACACTATATTCAGAGGCTTTTCTAATAAGTAAATAAGTAGTTTGACACTTTGGGAGCAATTCAAATCAATATCAGTTGTGAGTCTGATACATAGAAGCCTCTTTTCATGGGACAAACAAATGAGTGTGGTGAGCTCTCGATGGTGGGTGGGTCTTTGGACAGGGACAGGCTAACCGGTTCCACCCAGCCAGCTCCCAGCCATTTTGCTAAGCTAAACTTACAGTATTCTCAGGTACTTGGCAGATAGCTTGTTCCAGAAGCTGCTGTCTCTGTGTCTGCATGTGATCCCAGACTGACTCCATGGTCTGTGGGGGCCACACCACCCGCTGCAGGACTCTGGCTCCTCTGGTTTCTGAACAGAGTCCTTTATGGCTCTGGCTGGAGGTTTGGGCTCGTCTGGCTGCAGAATGAACGTGGGGCCGATCTACTGGGACCGTGTGAAACCTTTGCCCGGCACTGCTGCCACCTGTTGACAAAGTATTTGAAACAGAAACCAGAAGTGAAACACAGGGGAAAGCATGTTGTGGGGCTAAACTGGGAATAAAAAAAACGTGCCCACTAATGCTCCCTCTGTCTCTCTAATCTGGCCTCGTTGTGCTGACTGAAGGGGAACCAGCTTCAATCCTCTCAGTCAGCTCATTCGCAGGAAGTCTGCATCTCTCCGTATGCAAACTGTGGCGAGTGCAGGAGGAGGGGGGTCATACTGAGCATCAAGGGTTGGTCAGATTTCATAGCCGGCTCACCTGATTGGCTGACGGGACTGAGGCAGCTTGTGAGGGGCAGCAGGCGTTCACGTACAGAGCTTCTCTGACCGACACTCATCTCTTCCTCTGATTCAACAACACTCCTGCACCTCTGCAGCACAGGTGAGCCGGTCTAAAATACATCTGTAACATGTTCTAGAACTTTTTTTTTTTTCAAATTTAACAAAATTTAGATTTAATCCAGGTGTAGGCTCAGCTGTGAGAATGACAGAAGTACCTAGTTATTTTCTTTAATTTTATATTTTAGCAACCTTAACACAATAATCCTGAAAATATAATCTGATCTGACTTTAACACATTTTATCTCTTCACTCTTTTTTTTGCCTGATTGAAAAACAATCAAAGTAAGTGAAGTTAGTTTGTGTTGTTTTCATTGAAGAGAGGTCAAACACATCTGGGGAGGTTTTATCAGGACTAAGATCTTAGCTTAGCTCACCTAAATCTGTTCAAGTCATCTATAAAGAGAGTGATCAAAAATATAATGCAGAGTAACAGCCTTGAAATGTGTAAAAACCAGGTTTTGTTGAGGTATACTGTAGTTATTTGTGTTTCCTCAGTAATCCACATTTTACTCGTCATTGATGTCAGTTCCCTTATGTACTTACTATCCGGTCATTAGGCCACAAGATGGCACCAAAATATCGTAAACAGGTTTAGCAAACAGTCCTTGTTCAGTGTCAGAGAGATGTGAACAGCTTGTCCACTCTTCTCCTGTCTCCTTCTGTCTCCCAGGCAACAGGGACTCGCTGCCCTCAGTCTGCACCAACATGAGTCCAAAACATGTTGTCTTCAAGAAGGTTTGCAAGGACAATTCGGTGAGTGGAACATCTCAGATGAGACGATAGTAATGCTTAAGAGACCGAATAAGTCGTGTTCACTGTGAAAGTCCCCTTATAAACTTTCCCAGACTAGAAACAAGGGGGAATGATTGGAAATTTAACAGATGCTTGAGCCAGATGTTCGAGCCAGATGTTCAGGCAGCTGGGTCTAACAGCAGAGTTCGACCTGAGCTCAGGAAGAAGCTCTGTGCAGGTGGGTGACGGAGGTGCAACCGGAGTGCCTGACCTCTGCAGTAAGAGGATCCACCGGCTCTGCTATGGCCCAGGGGCAGTTTGCTGCATGGTCTGGGTCCACTCGTCTCCTTAAGAGTCACTGCACATCAACACACACTAGTTCTGAGTGATCACCTTCATCCTGTGATGAAACCCGTCTCTCCTGAGGGGTGTGGTCTCCTCCAGGGTAAAAGAGCCCCTGTGCACAGGGCACGAGGGGGCACTGACTGGTCTAATGGGGATGACCGTGATGTGAACTAGATGCTGTGGCCTTCCCAGTCACCAGGTCTCAGCGCAGTTGAACAGCTATGGGAGATGTTGGAGCAGCGTGTTAGACAGTGTGTCCACCACCGTTATCAAAATACCACATGAGGGAACATCTGCTGGAAGAACGGTGTTCATCCCTCCAGGAGGGGTCAGAGGCTTGGAGTCAGTGCCAAGGTGGTACTGTTGTGGTGGTCCCGGACCAGGCCAGCAGCCAGCATAGAAAGACACTTAACCCCAGACCTACAGAAAGTCACCTGACAGGCCTGGCTTTAGCTTAAAAGTGCAGGTGGTAACAGCCACAAATGAAGCTAATACTCATCCAGCTGTGTCATAGTAGTTCTGTGAGCATGGCAGTGGACTGAGGACCAGCCTGCCTCTCCCACCACCTCTTCCCCCAGACATGCTGCTTGATAGCAGGATGTCCGATAAAGCAGATTAAATCCGTCTGAGTATAATTTTCCATCTCGTTGCATTTTAATTCTGTGAAGTAGGTCAGCTCAGGTCAGCGCACACTCAGGACAATGTGAGCTGTGATCAGCTCTGTGTGTGCGTACAGGGCCATGCATGTAGATCACAGGCTGTCACATCAACTCTGCTGAGACAAAGACAAACGCTTGTCCCTCTTCCATGTGTAAGAGTTGCCACTTTATTAGGAACACCTGTGTGCAGCTGACAACTTTGGTTTTCCACACTCATGTTTTTCTGTGCTCCTGCTGTTCTATGTTGTGTCATTATTTTGATCAATTGATTTTTATTTTGATCTCAATCACTTTGAACTGTGTGACTACTACAGACTACTCCATTGTTTCGGTTATTTGTTAACCACACATCCCATGTGCAGCTTTTTCTGGGTTTGTCTGTGCATGACCTGCACTCAGTGCTGTGCCTGAATGCATCATGTGTAGACACAACATGCTAACGTCACACTCGTGTACACACTTTTAGCCTTGGACCTGGGGAGGTTCCGACTGTTTCACATGTTGATATATGCATATTAATACTGGGAGGATATATGTATTTGTTTTCTTAAGGTCTTGAAGTCATTCACTTCGATTTCACAAAGTGTGCAGATGCATGCAAATGTCATTACTGTCAGATTTTCTCTTTGTCCTGCTTCAGGTTGCAGTTTACATGGGAAAGAGAGACTTTGTCGACCATGTTGACTCCGTGGATCCAGTGGGTGAGTTTGTCCACACTCTAACAAACGTCCACCACCAAAATAAGCCAGCAGCCACATGTTGGAGAACGTGGCTGCAGTCAGACAACACATCTGTCCCGACACCTCAGACCAGGACCACTTTGCTGTTTGTCAGTGTCGAAGTGATTCAAAGGTTTGAACTCTGTCTAAAAAGCAGTCCCATCTTTATCTTCTTAACAGCTTTGCCTTTTGTTTTCCACTAGATGGCGTCATCCTCGTTGATCCTGAGGCTCTGCAGGGAAGAAAAGGTCAGTGACAGAACACTTGTCATTCATGTTGATACAGTTCATCTCACACATATTGTCATAACTTTACAGGGACCTGCTTCATTTGCTGCTCAAACCTTTATAAAATGATTCTGTTCTTCATAAATCCACCGTGATTTCCCCACGAGCAACGTTAGGGTCATACAAATGTCATCCCACCATGTCTGAGGTGCGACCTGAGGCTGCATGATGTTCAGACTGGGCACTGTTCCAGCTGATGTGTCAGCCGGATTTCTCCAGATTGGAAAAACACCACTGCTTATTTTGTACTCAGCTGCACTGTTTGAGAAACAGTTTGTTATGATGGTTTTACACTTCAGTTGATTAACTTTTAGTTATTTAAACAGAGCCAGGAGTCACAGTGTTGGCTTTTTATAATAAGAAGAAAAATCTTAGTGACATAACAGATATACAAAACTGGGACAATACAAATGACCAAAAACACATCTTTAGATTGGACAGATGTATATATCGATGCTAAACTGCTTTAACTTGGATTTAAAATGACTAAAGTGTTTTTTTAACAGATCAGTGTCTCTCCTTTTCCCTCAGTGTTCGTCACCCTGTCGTGCACCTTTCGCTACGGCAGAGATGATATGGATGTGATGGGAATCGCCTTCCGCAGAGAGCTGTACCTGTCCACCCGCCAGGTGTACCCGCCCCTGCAGGACCGCGAGAAGGGAATCCACACCAGGACGCAGGCCAAGCTGCTGCGCAAGCTGGGACACAGCGCCTACCCGTTCTTCTTCGAGGTGCGGGGCTGCACATCCAGGTGCCAGGCTGGACAGTGAAAGTAGTGACAAAGAGCAGAGTTCAAGACAAGTAAAACTTGCAGTTTCAGGGCTTCAGATGCTTCCAGACGAGCTGAAGAAGAGGAGCAGTAACGGAACAACAAGCGCTCTTTATCAGCTGGATCTCAGAAGGCTGCTGCTTGCTTTGCATTAGTTATTCAAAATGTGCTTGTTTTTTGAGAAAAATAAATGGAGATTTGTTAGACAAAACATTTAAATCATAATTTAATGAATCGTAATGTGCTCCCTCATAATCGCGCAGCCTGATTAATCTCAGGCGAAATTAATTTGCATTTATATTTCCAGCCTTCTTCTAAAGCAATTAAATTGACATTACCACTACTGTCTCCATAAACAAGTTCCCCAAGTCTGGGAGCCCCTACTGTGGTATAACATTAAGAAGCAGAGCTGCGTGACTTGAGATGTGATCAGATTATAAAATACAGGGTGTAATAATGCCCGCATCTCTCCCTCAGTTTCCGGACAACCTGCCTTGCTCAGTGGCTCTCCAACCAGCGCCCCATGACGTCGGCAAGGTACGGTAAGATCCTGACTGGGGAATCAAACCAGCAGCCGCTGCAGGTCACAGGAAGCTGACGTCTCTTCTCTCTCCCTCTGCAGCAATGTGCAGTGGAGTTCGAGATCCGAGCATTCAGCGCTGAGAGGCAGGACGCTAAAGTGCGCAGACGGTGAGCGTCAGCCCAGCACAAGAAGAGCTGCGAGATTGTCAGAGAGTTTATTCACAGCACTCAAATGACCAGAGAGAGTCTAGCAACATCTGTGGTTTGTCCAACAGGAGTGCAGTGAAGCTGGCGCTCAGGAAGGTCCAGTTCGCCCCTGAGGGCCGGGGAGCAGCGCCCTGTGTGGAGACCACCAGGGACTTTGTCATGTCGGAGAAACCGCTGCATGTCAGGGCCAGCCTGGACAAAGAGGTGGGGAGATCCTCAGCCTCTCTATATTTATACGTGTCCTTCATAATATTGCATATTTGACAACTGTTTAGATGAGTTATTTTCACATATATATATATATATATATATATGTTAGTTTACCCTGTCCATCTTGTGGTTTTTCAGTAGCCCTGCTAATCACCTTTATACTTAATGTAATTGCAGACACCTGATTTTTAAGGGTGCCTAGTTTTCACTGAATTCTTTATGGTTGAATGGTACATTTGAGGTTTTATTTTTTATTCAGGTTTGTCAGTTTGACCTGATTGTCTTTAACCCTTCAGTACACTGTGGGCTATCTCACACCTCTCACTGCTTATGCAGGGCTGAAGAAGAAGCCAGTTGTTACGTGTTGTACATCACAGAACTGTGTAAGACTTTGTTACAGTAGTTAGCTTATGGAATAAAGTCTGCCAAAAGTGCTCCTGCTTTTTCAGACGTACTTAGTGCTGCCGTCTGTTGCTTCAGATTCACATTTAGCTTGTCAAAGACTCAGAAACCTGTGAGTACTCGCCACACCACAGGCAAAAGAGCTGAACCTCTCAGCGGATCGAATGGCACAGTAAAACCCGGTGGTCTGACAGAACTCAGATGTGTTAATGTGACTGAAACCCACCAGTTGTGTATTATGGTCAGGGGAAGTGCGGCCTTCTCCCTCTGAACAGTTCATCTCCGTCGTAAGACAGATTTCGATCAGCTCATTGACTACATGTTCTTACTCTGTAAATGGCAAAAATAACCCTACAACAAGCTTATTCAAGTGTGTTGAAGGACCTTTACTTTCTCATTACATCCTGTTTTCAGATTTACTACCACGGTGAGCCCGTCAAAGTGCACGTCAGCATCACAAACGACTCCAGCAAAAACATCAAAAACATCATCGTCTCCGGTGAATGTCACGCTCACTGCTCATGTTGCAGTCACTGTCAGCTACATTTACACTGTGTCAAGTGTTTGACTCGCGTCTCCTCTTGTCCTCAGTCGATCAGGTCGCCACTGTGGTGCTGTACTCCAACGACAGCTACGTCAAGTCTGTGGCCATCGAGGAGTTTGGGTACTGGTCAACACACACACACAACACTTTACTGAGAGAGGTTCACTGTCACATCTGTATGTGCTCTTGTCTGTACTGAAAAGCATTTCATCTGTACAGTCCAGTTAGAAACCGAAGCTTTCATTCAAAACATCCTAAAAAAGGAAAAGATTTCTTTCCATGACAGTTTTATAGCATAATGAATAAACTCCATTTCTCTAATGCCAGGTAATTAATACAAATGTTGGTACTGATCAAGTGAGACAGAAGATAAGAGTCTGGTTTCAAACTTTTTGGACTTTGTTATGTATGACTTTTGGAAAAGTGAGGCCAAAGTCAGAGAACAACAGCAACAGCCAGGACCAGGGCATTTTAATGGATCCAGTCTCTTCTGAACTGGACTGCAATGGTCACCTCAGCCAGAGGCGCTGCTGCTCTCGTTACGGACGGCCGGTCAGTTACCTGTTTTCTGCTGACGGTCACTGTGTGTGCTCGTGTCTCAGTGACTCGGTGCCTGCCGGGGCGGCCCTGCAGAAGGCCTACACGCTGCTGCCTCTGCTGGCCAACAACAGTGAGAGGAGGGGCATCGCTCTGGACGGCAAGCTGAAGCACGAAGACACCAACCTGGCTTCATCAAGCATGTGAGCAGCAACCAGCGGCCGCTCAGGATTGCATCTCTTTGTTACACTGGGTCACTCGTGTCATCTTTTCTCTTCTCCTTCAGCATCAAGGAGGGGGTGCTGCAGGAGGTTCTTGGCATCATGGTCTCCTATAGAGTCACAGTGAAGCTCATCGTTGGAGGGTCAGCCATTGTGTGTGTGTGTGTGTGTGTGTGTGTGTGTGTGCCAGAAAAGACTTGCACTTTACTGTGGCTCCCAGCTTCTTTATGCACATTTATTCCATGTCACAAAATCTCGGTCAGTTTGTCAGAAGCATCAGTTGTGAGATGCATCAGATGGTGTCATGAAACCGGGTTAACTGTTGCACTAACGTAAACTAAAACAGATTTAATCAGTGACAGGTTGTTGACCTGCTTCATCATGTGCTGCAGAAAAGGCCACATGAAAAGTAGGTTTGTGTCAATTCTGCTGGTGTTTTAGGTGCTTCCTCACCAGTGTCCTCTCCAACAGCACATGTCTGAGGGCGGTTGCACATCGTGGGGTTCTGTTCCTACATTTGAGACACAGTCACAATTTTGATGCAGAGCTCCAAGTCCACGATCAGTGGACATGTCTCACAGTAAAATATACAACATCTGATTTAATAGAGTTAATTTGTCCAAACTGGCTCCGTGCGACGGTGCCTTCAGTCCAGGATTTAATAGAGTTAATTTGTCCAAACTAGCTCCGTGCGACGTTGCCTTTAGTCTATTGACAAGGGTTGGAGTAGAATCTGTGACAGATCTTTCGGTAAACAATGTATTATGCTGATATCCTACTGTATGAATTTTTTGTATTTTCACTGCCGCTTGACTGTTTCATCTGTCAGACCTCTGTCTCAGTGTTGTGTTAACTTGTTCCGAGAATCAAAGCTCATGCTTCATTTGTGCTGTGCTGATTTTCACCCGTGTGTCTGCCGCGCTCTCAGGATGATGGGATCAAGGTGGGTTGATGGCTTCTTGTTTTCATTAGTATTTGTAAGTGTATTATTCCATTAGTTTTGAGACGTAACGAGAGTAGCAAAATAACAGGATGCAGTTTAACGTGTTCTCAGAGGCATTAATACCAAAGTCTGCTTTCAATTTTAAATCTAACACAGATGTGAGTTAACACTGTGTAACCCACTGTATAAGGTGATGGCCCTGAGTTCAATTAACTCACAGTAACTGTAACTGACAAATCTTAAGTCGGTAATAAACCTCTCTACATTATGTGCCCTTAGATCCTACAGGGTACTGTACACAATAACCAAACACAAGTTAAAGTTTCTTAATTTACTCAACAAAAATCAGGGTAAACAATAACAAGTCCCTTTAAATATCTTTGACCCATTTTCCCAGTAAGACACACATTTCAATATTTCAAAATAAACATAAAACTGTAGCAGGCCCACACACACCCACCCACACACTGTCTCTCTCCACCAGCTGCATACACACTGAGATTTAACTCCCACTGCAGCCTGATGGACGCTCGGGCGGTCTGGCCAAACGTTTCACTCATAAGAGCCAAATAAAAGACGGTACCTTACTTGATAATTCGTAGTCCAGTGACTGAAGCGTTACCATCTCTGTGTGTCCAAAAGAAATGGCAGAAGGGTCCCAACAGTTGTACGATGCACTGGTCACTCACGTAGCACTGTCTCTGATAATGTCCATGAATTCCGGGTCAGAAGGATGAATCCAGTCTTGGGAGTAAGCCGGGTTAGATACCAACATTCATTTAGCCAATGAATGCTAACATGTATACTACTGATACCAACATTCATTTAGCCAACGAATGCTAACATGGTAGCTAGGTATACTACTAGACTAGACACATAATGTCACACAACTGCAAGACAACTCTGCACAGAAGAAATATCTTACAGCAGATCCTCGAGTTGACAATCTAAGGTACAGTCCATATACTCAACATAGTTCGCATCTGTATAAACGTTTTGTCTTCTCTCCTTCTCTTCACCAAGTTGCGCCCTCCCGCTTCCTTTCTTCTTCTTCTTCTTCCCTTCCTGGGTGTCACTACTTTTGCCGATGGGTGACCAATAATGATATTTTACACACAACACTGCCTTGAACCTTTAAAATAACATGAAATAATCATCACAAAGCTTTTGCTATTTTTACCATTCCAACCTAGTACAAGGTACATTTTAAATGCTTTTAACTATATTTATCTTATGAATTCAACTTAATAATTTTAACCATTGTTCAAAAGGAATGAACTTTCTAATGATGTTTAATTGTAATACATAGTATTTTTTACCCAGGTTCCAATTGTATTTCCACATCACCAGATCTTTCACTGGTGCTGAACTCTAAACACAAGAATCATGGATCTCTTACAAGCTTGAGCTATTTAAATCTTTAAGCAGTGATTTGTTTGTTTTGGTGTGAGATGGTTTAAGACTGAGGAAATAAAATCTTTTAAAGCTTTTCATATCGTTTGCTTCAGACGTACGTATCGGTATAAACTCTGGCTGAACATGTTGTTTACACAATGAATAGGTGAGAGACATTTGGTTTGTGTTGCAGTGAGGTCGCCCTGGAAATCCCCTTTAAACTGATGCATCCTAAACCTGATGCAGGTAAGGAAACACATTTCACTGTGTGTGTGTGTGTGTGTCTGTGTGCAAAGGCCCAGCAGCATAGTCTCACTAGTGTCTAGTGAAAAAACAAACCACCTTCTTTTGGCTTGAGGGGAAAGTTTTACATGGAATTAATCAAACTTGTTTGTTCTAAAATAACAGCTGTATTGAATTATGTGCGTAGATGTGTTCGTACGTGGTTTGTTCAGCTTGTCCACATTGTAGGGGTCTGATGAAAGAAAGTGCACCGGCAGTCGCACTGAACCCAAACCTTTCTCTTTTGTCTTGTGTTTTGCTGCCACCAGTGAAGGAGAGGTAAGGTGGTTTTCCAAACAATAAGAAATGAATGTCAAAGAATCTCGGTGTCTCTTTTTAAGCTTTGTTTGACTTTTAAAGAAATATCAGTTCTTTGGAGTTGTGAATGAATAAAAGGTCACTGACAGCAGGTGCCTGAGGATGAACACTGTGGTTATGTGACGCTTTAGTTCACTTCATCCAGATGCGGGGATCATGCTCCTGTGTGTTTTATCCTTAGCTTTTTAGGTTTTCCTCTGTTAGCTGCTGTTTATATCCCTGTGTTTTCATCCTGTTTCTTCAGTTCTGTTTCTTCACCCATTCTTTCTTTTTTTTACATTTCGTCATTTTTATTGGATAAGTAACAGTCAGCTAGCTGATGAGGTTTAAGGTCAGACTGTCTAGGCTTTATTGGTTCCAGGAGACTAGGTCTGCTCCCAGCTTCTGTCTTCTCCTACAGTACATGTGAGAAACCCCAGTGTTGTGCCTCTGAACAGTTCCTCTCTGACACTGCTGTCGTCTGCAGTGAGATGGAGGAGGAGATGGAGTTCCAGGAGTTCAAACGGGCCTACCTGAAAGGAATGATTGGTGACGACGAGGACGAAGATGGAAACGTGTCTGGGGGTGACGACGTGGCCCCAGAAGAAAAGTAGGAGATGCAGCGAACCAGGGTGGAGCACAGATAGCTGGGGGTTTGTCTCATCAGAGGCTGTAGCAGGAGAAGGTGACAGTTAAAGGACTGTCTGTGGTTTTGCATGTTTCAGTACCATGAGGCTGCAGCAGAGCAGGTCCTCAGACGTGCAGTTGGACCATGTTGTTAACCAACGTGTTAGTAGTTTCTTTCTACAGACAGAGAGAATCATGACTGACTTCCCCTATGAGAAATGTGAGAACTGCCAGGGAACGACCTCCTGTGCAACACCCGATCCAGGAACTTGTACCTAACTCCCATTTAAAGATGTTTTCTTTTAGCTAACATTTGCTTGCTAACATGCAAAACCACACATAAGGTCCTGACTAAACACAGGATAGTATTTGTTTAATTTATCATTTTTAGTGCTTTTGTGATTTTAGTAACCCAGTTAGTAGCAGATTCTGGGATGTTTATATCTAAAGTAATTTGACGTTGGTAATCGTGGGTTCATTTTGTAAAACCAGAGAATGTGCTGCAACCAGCTGAAGGAGAGACTGAATCCAGTTTAGTGAAGATGACACTCTTTATCGTTAGAGTGGCTCTGACTGTTTTATATTTTACAAGGTGGTGATTGTTAAAATGTCTACAGTAAATATCTCCCTGTTTAACCATTTTAAATGAAATTGAGTGAATGAATTGAATTGATTTGTGTTAATCCTTGATTTCACAAAAATCATAGACGTCCCGGAGGCTGCTTGTCGATCACATCAGGGTGGAACCCATTGACAAATACCAGGTTTATCTTCCCATACTTGTCTCTGGAGGAAATGACTGGTGGGACTGTAAAGCTGCTTGTAGGAGCATTTATATACAAGGCTGAACTTTATCTGCCAGCTGTGACTCTGTGTGAACTCTGAAATAAAAGGTGATTGATCCAATCTTACATTTTCTGCTCTTTCCTGGTGCGGTATTGTTTCTAAGACTGAAGGTCGGGGCTCTGTGTGGGTGGGTGGGGGTCACTTGTAAACATGGGACATTTTTACAACTGATGTGTTAATACTTTGCTGTTTAAACTGTCATTTTGTCAAGTCCAACATGTTAGTCCGTATGTTAAGTGAGAAGGCAGAATCTCACGTCACTTTTGTCTGAAATACATTTAAAAAATGTTGAACTTGTGATCAAAGCAGCCACATTGGTTGTGAGTTATTGTAATTATTTTTCTCAAGCAACAAAATTTATCCATCATTGACAACTGAGCAAGCAAACTGATAAAAGCAAATTAATGCATGTAGCACGTTTCATACACGGAGGCAATTCAGGGTGCGTTACACAGGCAAAGAAAAACAGTAACAGCATTAAAACCAGAATAAAGCAAAATAAAGCTTTAAAACTAAGCTGCAGACAGCTGAGCTCAAGCATGAAACTAAATTAACTCTGAGGACCCTGTACTTTTAAAACATTTAATATTTGAACCTCTACAGCTGGAGAAGAAACTCTGCAGTCAGCCGTTTATTAAAGTAAGTGCAGATGTCAAGCTGGCACCTGAAAGCCTACATGTACATTCATATTTCGGACAGTGCTGAATCATGGGTGAATTTATCTCGGCATTTAAAGGGGGGGTATTTTCCTGCTTAGCTTCTAGTTGTTGTTTGGTTTTCAGAACTTGAACACAACAGTTTACACACACTACAAAAATAAATCATTTTTGCCCACACTAAAAATATTTTAGCATGTTTCAAATATAAGTTCATAATTTGAATATTGTTAAATTAATGTATCTTAAAACAAGAAGCAATAATGTTGATGATTGTTATAATCTAGACAAATTAACTTGCATTAGAAACAGTAATTATTCTTATTTCTCTGGCAGCTATTTTCACTTTGTACTTTGGCACAGCAGTGCTTTGACCTCAAAGCTAATGTCAAATGCTAATATGCTTTTGTGAGGCAGGTATAATGTTCACCATGTTCATCAGTGCTAGTTTAGCATGCTAATATTTGCTAATTAGCACTAAACATGAAGTATTGGAGAAATTAAAATGTTGGCCTGATGAGGACACTAAATGTAGTCAGAAAATCAATTAATATCTGAGCCCACTTTCATGGCAGTGGATCCAACAGTTAACTGGATTTCTTAGTGGTGACAGACCAACAGACTGACACTGAGTCAGGCCCTAGCATGGCTTTGCTTTGGTTCTGGCAGCCACTCCTCATGCCTCCCTCAAGACCCACCTACCACAGATCACATTTAGAACCAACTCCGGTTAATGTCCACAAATGGTAACGATGGAATATTGAACCTCATCACCTGTAACATCACATTTTGGGGCAGTTGTGATTGGTTTCATCAGATAACAGTGGTGAGGAGTAGAAACTATACGACTTCTTGTGCACCACAGTAACTTGTCTGATGGAAAACTTCATCTCAAAAATGGACAATTTTACATTATACCCCTCCTTTAAAACTTGCAGTTATAAATACACTTTGTTTGATTGGGTGTGCATGCATACTTCATCTATGTCTGTCATACTGACGTGAGCTATGGTTTAGAGGTGGTGGTGGTGTGTGCAGGACCATTCCAGCTGAAGTCTTCATCGTGATAGTTATTCGGGAAAACATGATTGCGACCAAAGGGCAAATCACAGGAGTCGGGGTATATCAGATGCCCAGAGAATGTGCTGCTGCTCTCACTGTCTGTGAATATACCATTAGTGACAGCATTCTTCACCTGCAGCCACACCTGGTCTCCGGCAGCGAGATGCAGGATGACAGTTTGGCTGGCAGTGGCTTGGTTGATTCCTACTGTTACTTTGACGACAGGGTAGAGGTTGAGAAACAGGCCAACCTTGAGTGGCCTCTGGGCCACTGCCAGGTCGAAGGTGAAGGTGTAGGTGCCATTGATGGGGGCTGTGTAGATGCCGTTAAATGGGTTGAAGTGCCCTTGCTCATTAGTAATGACAATTTGGAAAGGAATGGGAAAGTCTTCAATAGGAAATGAGTAGTTGAGTTTTGCAAAGAATGCCGATTGGATGACTGGGGAGCACGGACCGGGTGGCCCAGTCATACCAATGATGCCCTCATTGCCTTTTGGTCCAATGGGACCCTGTATGCCTTGGGCACCAGTGTCACCTTTGTCCCCCTTAGCCCCCTTTTCTCCTGGTCTGCCATCAATTCCATTCACCCCATCGATGCAGTTACATACACCCTCCCTTCCTTGATCACCCTTCTGGCCATTCAGTCCAGGGTTGCCAGGTTGACCCAGGTCGCCTTTATCGCCCTTAAAGCCGTTGGGTCCAGTAGGTCCCTGCACTCCAGGTAGGCCTCGGGCTCCAACTGGTCCAGGGAGGCCTTGTGGACCTGGTGGACCTTGAACGCTGTCGCAGGATTGAGGGCATAAGCCATTTTCTCCTTGAGGACCCTGTTCACCTGGGGGCCCTTCCAGTCCTTGGTCCCCTTTATCACCTGGGGAAATAGTAACATACACATCAAGAATATCTACATTAGATTTGAGCATAAGTTCAGCTGGCTGGAAACTGGCTTTTGACAGACAGCAGCAGTAGCTGTAAGAGCAGTGCTGTGCTGTCAGTGAAAAGTAGAGTGAGGATGTTTTCAAAAATAATGCTATGAATAGGTTTTATTTATCAATTAACTTCATGTAGAGTGCAGTGAAGAGTTTTTCCATTCCCATTTCTTACCAACAGTGAGTGTTGGTCTATTAACAATGACCAGGGTCTTTTCCTAGCCTTACCCAAGTAGTTATTATCATAAAACTGATTTATTTTTGCAACAATGTTTTGCAACTGTTAGGGAAGGTCCTGGCATCACAGTGATGTGAACAGACCTTTGAAGCCTCGCTCTCCCTTTGGCCCCATGAAACCGACAGCTCCAGGCTGCCCTCGGTCTCCCAGATCGCCCTTCTGACCTGTAACAACAGACAAAAAGAAATTATCCCAATAAATGAAAAGCAAAAGGCGACTTGTGTTAAAAGACTAAATCAATGTGTAACTGAATGACTAGTCAGACTAGGTTGAGTGCATTGGCCTGTTTTGATGACAGGTTCGAAGATGTGTCTACTGGCTGCAGATGAGAAAAAAACAACCAAAGGCAGGTTTGTGTAAAAAAAACAAAAACAAATACAAATCAAGTATAAAGGCAAAACTAAGGGAAACGGGGAAAGGTTCAAGACCTTTGCATTGTCTACAGTCCAATTTAAAGCCACTACATGTAAAAAATTTAATATTTTTTCTTTCTTTGGCGCCACCTGGTGGAAGCACTAACAGTGATACTGTGTGAGGCCCCCACCTCTAAGATGGTTAGTAGGAGTAGTAGGAGGGCTGTTAGTAAGGAGACGAGGGGCATAAATGGAAGAAGGGTTAATGTGGCAATAGCAATTAGTTGAATTAAGTTACCTGTACAACAACAAGACTAAGGGTTTGTTTTATATTGTCTTGTTTTAAGTATTTTTGAATAGTTTTTCAGAGATCCTTATGGCTGAAATACAGGTATGTTCCCCATTGCTGGGTTAATTATAGGAGTAATATTCTTGTCCTCGATTTCTTGATCTCTTGAATACTACTATATTTTGTCTTGTTCTTAGGTATTTTGATTTGTTCTCAGGGATTAATTGTGGGAGGATCATTCTTGTTCTTGATTGTCTCTCAAATACTATATTCTGTTTGGTTTTAGGTACTTTGGAATTTGTTTCTCACAATATGTGTGTGGTGTTTGTTCTTATGGTGTTTTGTTGCTGCTCTCTATTGCTGCTGGAACACAGACATTTCCCCATTGTGGGATCAATAAAGTCTTACCTACTTACCAACCTACCTTGTTTGTTCCCTTGACAAAGTTATTGATCTGATACTCACCCTTTATTCCTGGACGGCCTGTGAATCCTGCTTGACCTTTGAGCCCTGACATTCCTCTAATCCCAGGACTACCGGGATTGCCTAAACAAAGATTAGAGCGAGGTCAGTTTTTGTTTTAAAACTTAGCATTGAAAGACTCCAGGGGAAATCGAAATAACAACCCTGGCAATGTTTGTGCCTTGTTTCACTTTCCTACAGAGACCTGTGATTCTCAGACTTTGTCATGACCAAATTATTTTATCAAGCATTAAGACCTTTATGGAAACTAGTAATAAAATATAAACAGGTGAGCTTTTTTAACATAAAGTAAAATAACTATTTCTCTCTTCATGCAAGTTTCTCATTAGATCCACATGCAGACTCCAGGCTCAAGAGCACAGTATGTTCTCGTTTTATGGCTTCTTTACATTTTGGGTTTGATGTTGATCACATCACATCACTGGGACCACAGTGAAATCTACTTTTCACTCCTGTCTTGTTTATTTTAGCTGAAAATTGAGAAATTTATAAACAAGATTAAATATCTACGACAAACTGCCTGAAAAGATGATCTTAAACATAACATTTAATAATTTTAGATATAGTTTCATTACAGTGCCAGTGTTTGACCTGCATCAGCAGGAGCCACTCCCTGGCAGCCATCACCACAAACTGTTTGATATCCTGATGTAAGAGCAGTCGAACAAAAACACAGCTCAACTCAAACAAGTAATGTAAAGTGGTGCCCATGCCTGGAAGACCCCGGTCTCCACGGTCTCCTTTGGTGCCTTTGCAATGCGAACACATGCAGAAAAATGGAATCTCGTCCACACGTGGCGGAACCGGGGCGTTCAGCAGCATGTCGCAGATTGTGGATTCTTGCAGGACGGGTGTCACTGAAAGGTTCGAGTCAGGAGTCTCAAACATGGTGAAGTTGCCTCCCTGTTGCCCTGGTCCTGGCTCTGGAGGGGGACTCAGCCCGAGGCCGTTGCGGGATATTGGTGAAAATTCCTCCATTGACTCAGAAACCTCCTTCTGCTCTGAGCCAGGCCAGAGGAAAGTGTGGTGGTCCGAGGTGGAGCCTTCGTCGCTGGACTCGGCCTGATCATTGTTTTGTAGGAGCATGGCTGAGCAGAGGGAGGTCAGGGTGAGGAGTCCCAGCAGCCTTAACATCTGGAGGAAGGAGATGGGATAGTTACACTGAGAACATTTGCATCAGTCTGTTTGTGCTTATTCCCATGCTGTTCTATTATTTTTTTTATAAATCACTTAAGCTTGTTTTAAGAGAAACTTCTCCAGAATCGAGTGCCATTTACTGTATTTTCCTACTGCCACAACCGGCCGCTGTCTGCTGATCTCACCTGACTGGCTGATGACATCTTCAAGTATCTCATGTCCAGATAAAACCCAGATGTTATTTAATTGGTTTTCATTTAGATTAAGCGTTAGGACAAAAAAAATGTAGAACTGTTATAACTAAGAGCTGTGGACTGACAATACAGCCATAAAAGAAAAATTTTATCATAATCTTTTTGCAAATACCTTCCAAACCTGACTGACAATACAGCCATAAAAGAAAAACTTTACCATAATCTTTTTGCAAAAACCTTCCAAACCATTTGGAACATTTTGTTTAGTTTGTTTCTGATCTTTACAGAAATTGCTCAGACAAGCAACCAAAGGAAACTAGATTATATTCCAGACAAACTAAACTGTTCCCAGACTCAAAAATAAAGCCCCCAGATATGTTTTAAGAAAAACTCACCGCTCTGTCTGAGTTGTGCAGCATCACCTGGAGGATTTCTAGGGAGATGAGCAAGATGAAGGAGGCTTTGATTTATTTATAAGCCTCGCCCAGAAGTAAACGTCTTTAAGGCTCCGTCTCACCTGCTGGTCCACGGACAAAGACTGAGGAGGGGGGAAGGAGGGAGAGGGAGGGCGGCATGTCTTCACCGGCCTTTTGTGAAAGAACTGGGCCTTCTGCCTGCGACACGACCTCCTTCATTACAAAACAGAAAAACATATCCAGAGCAGAAAGAAGAGGTGTCTCTGTTTATCTCTCCATCACTGTCCTTTCAGAAAGCCGCAGTCTTTCCTTTGACAATGACTTTGTTGTGCAACCACACCTCCTGGGATACATGATATTAATGCAATATATTAGACTCAAAGAAGATAACAAGCAGACACAGGTCAACACTTGTTGGCTGAAATTTAAAACTGGACATCTAAACACTGACAAACCAGTGTGAGATGATTCTTATCTCCTGTTCTGGAACATGAACATTTTTCTCTCAGATACCTGTACTTTACTGAATGCACACTGTTGTGCCACTGCTGAAGTATCTGAGTATTTTCTTTCTGTCCTTTCTTCTTTGTCACTTTTGGTGTTGATGTGCGATAAGAAGCTCAGCCTGTAAACCGATCTCCAGACGACTCACTGCTGCCTTTGGGAATTTGGGATGATGCTCCTGTGAAAACGCTTTTAGGCAACAGGTCAACTTCTGGGAAGATTGGACACATGTCAAGACAAAACACTTCATCAGATGAATTCTGATTCAGGGGGTTGGTTGTTGTTTGCCAAGTTGTTAAGATTCCAAAGTCAGTCAACCTCAGTTCCCTGTCCAGTTCTAGGGTTTACATTTGCTTCAGAAGCATTGGGATGCCTTCAACTTTTGTGCAGACAGGCGACTTCTGAAGCTCTGTCAGAGGGACCGCTGGGTCCTTGGTCTCCTCCCTGACGGAGACCCTTCTTGTTCTTCAGTCTGGTCAGATGCCAACTCCCGAAAGAGTCCTGCTGATTCCAGACCTCGTCCATGTCCCAGTTACTGAGGCCACCAGGCTCCTGGGGACACTCAGAGCTTTAGACATGGTTTGAGCCCTTGTTCCTGATCTGGGCCTCACCACAGTCTGACCACAGAGGTCAACAGTGAGCTCCTGGACCTCTTGTCCAGGTTTGTGTCCTGACCTGCAGTGTGAACTGTGGGACCTTATACACACAAGTGTGTGTCTTTTTACACTCTGTCCAGTCAGCCCAGTTTGCTACAGGTGGACTCCAGTCTGGGTCTGGACAAACCTGAAGAAGAACAAGAGCACAGGGTTATAGATCTGTAGAAGCTGTAAGAAAAACTGAAGGCCTTCAGAAACTGGCGCCACCTTCAACCAGAAACGTCTGCTGTACATCAGACCTGTGCTGGTCAAACTCTGCAGACTAAAACATACATCTCATCTATAAAAAACAGTTTATGGGCGTGAAGGGAATAAACATGAAGCCAGTGTGGACACAAAGCCAGCAGGCAGTGGGCCAGTTCTGGGACCAGCTCAGACACGGCTCCTCTACGTCTCCATACCAACTTCTATTGTGGAAAGTCAAAACAGCCGGGGACACAAAGGGAAACCAAGCCAAGGGAACCAGACAAAAGAAGACAAACAGGATAATGGTTAACCTTAATAAGTGTCCTGGTTTCCACAGCTAGCAGCGCTCTGTGACAGCCTGGAGGCCTGACCAGGTTTCACTCCTGACCCTGCTTGACCTCCGTTCCTGTTTAAAAGGTTTTGCTGATTACTGAGCGGCATGCTGGTCTGAGCTGAGGACTGCTATGGCAAGGTCATGTGACCACCATCACAACATTATCTAACAAAAACATGTCAACAGAGTGTCTTTAAATCTGTCGTCCTGATTTTTCATATTGTGATATTTTGCTTTATTCTGTACAAACAACGTCTGTTACATATCTTATCCTCTGATGCTCTTGCTTCAGGTTGTACAGTGAAATTAGTAATATCTGATTCTGGGCAATATAAATAATTACATCTCCTAAACACTGCTGTTTTCCTTTTCGTCCAGTCAGTGTCTGTCTGGTGTCGGTCCACCTGGAGGAGACGGTCCTTCAGCCTCGGCCTGCGCTGCTGAGTCACTGTGGACTGGATGCTTTGTCGCTTCAGCTGATCTCACATGTGGTTAGAGCATCATAGGACACAAAGGTAACAGAAACACATTGGAGATGTGTGTTGTAATAAGACTCATGAGAACATCAGCATTGGGAACACGGGGCTCAGATGTTGCAGAGCTGAGTGGGTGGAGGTTAAGCTGGAGGTTTGAGTGTGTGTTGACAGTGCTGGCAGACGGTGCTGAGCTGCAGACTGTGGACTCTCAGTAAACACCGCTAGTTAGTCATTAACACAGCAGAAACACAGCAGACTGTCACCTCGGTCCACGACTTTGCTTCTTCACACGTAAGTACAAAACACTCCTCTGTCTTGTGTTTTCATGTCTTGGTTTCATGATGTTGTGACAGTCTTACAGCGTCGTATCGACTTCACTCCGGACTCTGCGGCACCCATTGTTCAGCTTTTGGGGTCAAAGGTCACAGAGCTTCAAACAGGGATTAGTGCCAGTCAGTTTGGTTGTCTCTGCAGTTTCATCCGATCATGATCAGTACTGTAGAAATGTTTCCCTAAAGCCTTTTTAAACACTTAAACAATAAGGTGATGTAGTTGTGATGAAGTGTTTGTGTCATCGCCAGCTCCTCCAGCTTCATCTTTGTAACCTGCTTTAATTTGGTGAGTCATGTTAACCTCCCCACTCATAAATATCCATGTTTGTGCCTGTTTCTATTTCACTGGAGACAGTGGGTAAATACAAACAGTGGACTGGCTCACCTCTGCCTCGTCTCATTGGCTGCAGGTTTGACTGACATCATGTGCCGCCTCGGCCTCTGTGTGTCCGTCTTCGTCGCCCTGTGGTCAGCGTCAGTGCTCAGTCTGTCAGGTGGTTGTGTGGAGA